TGCAAAACGTCCCGAGAGCTTTAGTGTGCTTTGTGAAGCAAAAACGACTTACTCTGTGGTGGGTTTGCCACTGTGTACCAGATGCGAAACTGGCTCTGGTTTTGATCCCGCAGTTGTTCCAGCTCATCTCGCATCAGAATATCACTTTCAGTCTATAGTAAATAAACAGGCCTAAAGGCATATCCAACATCAGGGAAGACTTGGTTGTGCCTTAGGACCCAGAAATATGTTGTTTAAAGGAAATGGCACAAAATATATCAAACAAACACCACCTAGATTTAGTTATTTTAAATTTTAAAGTTAAATTGTTTCCAACAACCATTTACCGACACTAAAGTGGAAACGATTGTGATATTATCTTCAATCCTACAATGTGAGCAGTTAAATAATTATTTTTGATTGTGACAAAATCTTTCAGTGGATTAAGATAATAAATCAGAGCACTTTATAGAACAAAAATGTAACTTTATAGGGCTAAACACACGCCATCTACTAGTCCTGAAAGCACTCAAATACTATTCACACTAAAATAAGCGGAAAATTTCGTCGAGAAATGCAATATGCTACACAAGTGAGTAGCATCGATTCAATTAGGCTAAAAGGTCCCTCTAATCAAAACATTTTACAAAACTACCCCATTTTCTACGTGGATGACTCCTTGACTATGACCTTTGATATCTCAACACTTTGGCAGAGTAATCCTCACGATGCCTCGAGACTAATTTTAATCACAGTCAGGGTAAGCTAAGGGCGCCGAAAAGTAGGTGGGTTAAGGCAGGCGATTTGACAGCGCTGTACCAATCGAGGGTTAACATCACATGATGCATCCGCTACCACAGCATCGAGAAAGTGTGCTTTGAGAAAACAATTTACAAGTCGGCTGTTATCTAGAGACTGGCTTGATAAAACGATAATTTACACTAATATAACGGCACACCTGACTTGATAAGTGTACCGAACAGTAGGAAATGCTGATGTCTCCACCTTAGTGAATCCATGCTACTGTTGCTAGGTTTAGATACGATAAACGCAAAACTGTCCCAGTAAGGCATAACAACAGCTATGGATTCTGGTACTCTATTGACGACTTTCATTAGGGTAGCAGACGGTAACCACAACTTTCCTTCGGTGATTTGTCAACTAGAAGATCATTATCTAAGTGTGATTGAATGACTAGCCTGTTCATTCTCTAGTTCAATTGATCCTTCATGCAAAATCTACTTATACCCATTTGTTTTGGTTAATTCTTCCCAAAAGCTTGGTCACAGCATACCACACATGTATCATATGCATTTTGCCAAAATGCTATCGAATGAGTGCAAATGTGATGTTCGTTTACAAGACTTTTATTTAAAATGATGAAAGTCGCGATAAAGAGAATTATATTCGTGAACATAACCTCTGTTGCAATTATCATAAAGTCGTTAGTGCAAAGTCGGATACCATAATAAGACGGAATTGTAATAAGTATCAAAGCATCTATGACACACGGACATTACTTTTGAGCAAACCTAACACACTCCGGAAATTGTAAAACATGAAAAAAAAAATATATAAACTGACGTGATTGGCGAACACAAGTGCTATTTTCGTTTTATCTGAGGTGGACTTGAGAATGTGCTTCAGAAGTTGGTACATTGGTGTGAGTCCAGTGCCACCACAGACCATGTTTATGTGAGTCGCCTTCAGCTTTCGTGCATTTCCAGCTTTCGTTTCAAACACGCCTAGGATGGGAACAAAAGTGGTAAAACCAGTGGCCCACGCATTATACCTTGGAACTCTCAACGAAGAACTCACCATCGCCGCAGTATTGAATGAAACCAAATGGACCACTGACTTCCAAACCGTCACCGATTTCCAACGAATCAATATACTGTGTCATTTTGCCACCAGCAGGAAACTTCGGGTTTACGTCTTTCCTATAGATCTTCAAGGATAATAATAGATACAAATGACATAAAACACGAGTGGCAGTCGTAGTTTAACAATTCATGGACTTGACCCGAGACAGGTGTTGAGGTCACCAAGTGTCAAAAGCGGCACAGCCACCAATACAGTACACACCTAGGTAGCCCACATGACCACCATTGCAGAGCGTATAATGTGCCTAAAGCGCATCCCTCGCAAAACATGGCCAGTAAATGGGGAGTTTTTTCCTACTGAGATGATGAAGAAACCCTGTTAGCCAATATATATGGACATCCTTTTAAGTTCTGACGTCAATTAAACTATCTTACCATTAGACCCTGATAAGGGCTAAGACGTTTTACACAAGCTACATAAAAAGGTTTACTGAAAATTCGTTATTAAGCACCATTCACGCCGCGTCCAAATGAAACATGAGGGCAAACAGATTGGAAAATTTGAAAAATTGCGATCGTTTAACGCTAACAGCAATTGCGGGTGCTTGCTCCAAATTCTCGGTTGAATACAAATGAAATCAAATTAATAAATGTGGGCACCATGAAACTATAAAACTTAATTGGACGACGTGAAAGGTTCCCGCCATAATCCATTAATGCAGATACAGTCACGAAAATAAGACAAATAACACGTTTTGGGCTTAAGATTTCCTTACAATGTTATAACCAAAAAATTAATAACTTAAACATGCCGACCATCAAACACCTAAACTAAAGTTATCACGTAGCAAGGTTACAGCAAGGAACAATTTTCAAATAAGACAATAAATACAAGTGCTGTACTTCGCTGCATACCAATGACATGTCAGTACACCACCAAATGAAGCAAAAATCAATGCCCAAAATACACATCGCATTGTAGATAAAAAGCAGGCAAAACCAATATATTGTTGACAGCAAAAACAAGATGAGAAACACACAATACCACAACTAACAAACGCACTGTCACATTTATCAGGCCTGCATTTGCAAAAAAGACTGGCATGCTATTTTGTGGATGTACATTAAAAAATGTATTTACTCCAAAAGTAAATCCACGTGCATTTAGGAAACCCACCTTGATAATGAATTTGGCATATCCCTTCAGGTCGTCCAATGTAATTGGGGTATAAGGCCGCTTGACATTTTCACCATTAATTCTTGCATGGAACTGAACGCAGCCACCTAGGCCATTTTGGGAAATTAATAAAAAGTCATACCAATGGGAATGCCGAGAACGTATTCGGCAGAAGGGAGGCCAAATGTAAAGATTCCTGTATCAGCAGAAATCACCTACAAGGTAACACACAATTTCTTCCCCACTTCTTTATCAACCAGACGTAAGGGCAGTTTAATATTCTGACCCTGTAGGTATATTTTGGCGGATTTTTTCAAGAAAACTCTAATTAGCGATCCACCAACGGCGGCGGCGACAGCAATTCCAGCCACCACACCACCCTAAATGCACAAATTGTGGCATAATATGACACTACAATCGCGAGCCACTTTTTGTCCTTGGATTCGACCATCCTTAAAATTACCAATGACACAATATTTAACAACCCGGTACTGGAAATGGCCTTAATATTTGTTTATTAAAACGAATCTAAAAACCAGTAGAAATCAGACATGTCGTTTTTAAAGTCAGATAAACACAAATAACCATGCACAGTTATTGTTATCGCGTGTTTTTGGTTGTTGTACAATTAGGAAAGCCGTTTAAGACCACATCGTTGTTTGGAAATTAACTTCGGGTGTAGGAGATAAATGTAGGCTTCCGTTATTCAATACTTCAGCTGCTCGTATCTTGAAATTAAGAAACAAGATTCAACAAATAGTAGTGGTCTCTCATACAAACGCACGCATAAGTTCAGACTTATATTTTCAATGAGGTTTCAGGTTTTCTCAGCATCGTAGAGACATTGGTATTTTGTGCACAGGATTTTGACAAGCGGCACAGTGCTTGACCGATACTTTTTCTAGACAATTACTGTATGTATTATGGGCCACAAATTGTAAAGAGATAACTGCACATTATTAAATGATAATGAGGTGAATGAGATTTTTAAATGTAGGGTTTAGTCAAGGATTTAACTAGACGGGAATGCTTAACTTCAGTTTACTTAAAACAATTACAGCCCCGTTTCTGCATATGTATTCTGAACACAATGTCAGACACAACGCGTTTGAGCTTAAATAAGCACTTCGCGTATCAAGTTAACGGCCATTTCAAATACAATTTTGAGCGTTCGCATTTTATTTCGGCCAACAAATAGGCCTAACCATATCGGGTAACTGACACGAATTAATCAGTGTTCACTCCCAACAAATGGTCGGTTATCAAAAGTCTATGAATATACTTAAATTTGGCATTCGTTACACAAATAGCAATGATGACCACCACTAACTCGACAACCAGTCAGCCGGACAAATGTCGCTCTTGCTAAATCCACAATTGTGCTCTTATTAAAATCAATAGGGACTAAATGAAAATATCTTATTCCACAAATGCATACTGAGCCCCTGATAACGACGCTTACATAAGAACATCTTTGAACATGTTTTCGCAACTGTAATTGACACCTCGAATTTACGTGTTCAGATGCCGAATGCCATCTCTTATTAGACACATCAACAATCCACAAACTGCTAAGGCTGTGATAAAATGTTTTAAGCTGTCTTCAGTTCCGCAATGCCTCTTTACTGAAAGATTAGTAGAACCGACTCGCCTTTCATGTGTCATTGGTTTTTATTATCAGTCGCTTGATAAGCACATTCTCACAAACAGTCCTGCTTTGCCAAATGCCAAATAACATTCGACTTTCTAACCTTTGCTCGCATTTTTGCATCTTAGACGATATTGGTTAAAGGTTATGTGTGCAAACGCCACTTACTGTCACTCCACGTAGTAAACGCTCTTACATGCAGCTACCAATTCTCGAACGAACACGCCGAATACTGGAAGTCAGAGTCAATTTAATTCTCCAGTTTTAATTTGTCATGAGCACTAAATTCCATGCAGTCGATTATACCTAAAGGTAACACCGAAGAACAAAGTATGACGTGTCCGCGTACCTCTCCAAAACCTCATACTGGACGACAGCCAACATAAAAAACTACGTAACAGCACTTTTGCGCAATGTAGCATTTTCTAGAATACACTGCTGATAGTCAACGTCGAGTTGTTTCCAAGAATCTTACACCCTTTACCACAATGGATCGGCCATCCAGACACAAAACGGTCACCTAGTTTCATCATGCTACAGTAAGCTACAGGGAGAATCCACTGCAGACCCACATCCTGCTTCAGTGGTCGTGGTGCAAAACTTGATTCTTACATTGTATTACATTCGTTTAGGCGCATTCCCAAAAGTCACATATTGCATGCTGGTGCCCCTTCCCTCGATTGACTTCCTTACTGAACATGACAAACTTGCGGGAAGTGTTGAATCCACAAGACATTTCCCGCAAAACAACACTAGGTGTTCCACGTTCCGACACCTTGATGAGTCAACTCAACTCGACACATCCAGTGCTTGGAAATCCCAAAAATTGACAGCACTCATGACGTGGCCCCTTCTATGCAATCTGAGCACTTTTAACGTCAGTCTGGGCATCTTTAGGTATAGCAGCTACCCCACCTTCTCTACGACTTAAGAACAATTGAGGATCAGTGCTTGCTATCACATTCACATTATTAGTCCCGCCGTAAGGGCAACGTACAAACTACACCCACCACACACTTTTTAAAACAATTGTTGGGACCTCTGTAAACGCACAACGCCTGATTTACTTAATTTACTACCAGTCCTAGCTACACCACCATATGGTAAATGAATTAAGAGGGAAACTACATTAGCAGACTTGGAAGTAGAATACACTGTTTTAGGCGTCTAGTTTCCTTGACAACGAACAGACAGATAAGACTTAATAAACCCTTTGAACAACACTTAGAGGTGACGCTAGTTGGGCGATCTGTACCAAAAACCCCTCAAATTCAGCACAGGATACCAAGATCATCCCAGATAATTCAAGAAGATAGACACGTGCAAATTTGAAATTATGATCAGTGGCGAAAGAGTATGGTCTGAAACATCGGAAACCCTAACGTTAATTCAGAAAGAATGTAAAGCCAGCTTCTGCAATACAGACAACGCACAAAACCAACTTTGGCAACAAATGCTCCACCAATTCAGATTCAACAAAGCAAAAATAACTTAGTAAGAATGGAAACACGTTATTTGACATTAACAAGCAACACCCTTGTTCCATTAATAAAACAACGATACACCCGAGACGTAATTGATGGAAATGTATGCAATACTTTTTACCGTAGTACAGAGTAAGCGTATAAGAAAAACACAACTATACAAAAAAATTTATTTACACGAAAATGAGCTTTCCATATTTAGTTAAAAGCGCTCCAGAACTTCCACAATATTTACACTGTTACCTCGAACTACAATGGTGTCGATATTGATCTGCTGACCCGACTTAGTCACCTCCTGGCATTCTTCAATCACCATGTTCATAAAAGCATCAAATCCACGAAGAAGTCCAACGACTTCGCGATTACCGTTCAGTTTAACTAATTAGAAAATAAACAAAATCAGAAAAAACCACGACATTAAAAATTTAGTGCATTAATCACAGAAAACATGAACAGCAGACCGTTGTGTTACAATAATACGCGTGCACAGCCTGCGTCAAAAGTTAGACAAAGCAATCTAAAATTCAATATTAAATGCCAACTTAAGGTGAAAAGCACAAGTTAAAGTTACTGCCATGGTGGCACCTTAAAAACAACGCGCGTCAAGAAAGCTCGATACCATGAATATGAGAATCCGCCAAACCGGACGTGGTATCCAAACAGGCTTTACTAGTCAGTTAAAATCCAATACATATAAGACAGCACAGCACTTCAACTTGTATTCAGTTACTAGTGAAAAATGGCCGAGCCGATTATTGAAAAACGAACGCACCGACCGACCAGTGTCAACATCCAGAAAACTTACGACAAACGCGCTTATCCAAGTACCTAATAAAATGTTTTTAAAGCAACAAAATCATTACTTTTTGAGATCCGGTTGGTGGGCACGACTCATTTCCACTTAACAAAACGAAAATATAAATTGCCCGGCTGCACCTTTAGAAGTAAAACAAATGCCTTCCACCTCCTTCGAAAAACTTATTTTGGCAACCTATTCTGTTATTTAAAACTTTTAAGATCAATCAATGTGTTGCAGATACTGAAAGCGTCAATGGAAAAAAAGCATCAATCATTATGATGCAAAGAGCCGATTATCTGCATTTTGACGAATTAATATGTCATTTAAAAATGTCTAATTCTGAAATATTATGAACAACCCACGGCTGCAGATAAAAGGTGGGGCTTTTCTTAAATTGCTTCTTTAAACATTCCCGGCGAACCTAATTCACTTTATAAAAATCGTCACCAAATTCGGCGAAACAGAGTTTATTCCGGCATCCAAACCCAGAAAACTATAATTTGTATTAAAAGGAAGTATTTTAGCATTCCGATATTGTTAAAACTGTGTTCCATAGAATTGTAATATCATTCAACTCCTATTTGAGAAATTGGATCAAATGTCAAATTATAATGAAAAACAGTGCGGTCATGTGAAGTGACGTTAGAACATGGTTTTTTGTATTTGAGATTCATAGTACCTTGCGTTTAAATGTTTAGGCTTTAGTGCCGTACTACTATTCCGGAATACTAATTGGTGTACATTCGAGAGTGCAATGAGGAGTGAAAACTACATTAAAACTGAAGATGTTAAATTTATATCAAATGATAATCAGTAGGGATGTAAACTAGCAGAATAGATTTCAGCTTGTCTAGGAAAGTTCCTTATAATTCGGATTTATATAACACGGCGACTGTATTGAAATACTTTGTTACACGCTTTTGTGATTTATTTTTCATTAGAAACTAAGGAGGCTATGTCGGATTACTTATTCCCTCAAATTTTGAACAACATATTCAAATCAAAGACCATGCTTAGTATAGAACAATGATTTTTTGTAGTTCAGGCAAATTAATATACATTTCTGCATTTGTCCCAATTACAACTGTGAGCATGTATTCATTTAAGCTAGTTTTAGATAATTCATGCATTTTATAGCATATTCTGTGGAAACAAATGTCAGTACTAAATTTTATCCCTTTTGCTAGCATAACCCTTTCACAGCCATTCACAGTCAAGGTCCAAACGACCCACTAGAAAAGGTGCGTTTTGAAAGGCGCACGTTTCTAATATTTGCGTTGTTGGCGTTCCTTTTTTCCCGTCGTGATGCATTCATTTTTTGCGCGTATCAGTGCACTGTCTGCTCTTCTAGGAACAACAATGTCTGTATTGATGTTAGCAACGTTTTTATCTACTGCTTTTATCAACAAAACCATTCCAGTTGACATAGGCGTCGGTAACGTAAATGTGCAGGTTGCTGAGGATTTTACCATTTCCAATCCTTCGAAGAATGACCTCGGAAGGCTCCGAATCGACATTAAGGTATTATTGTTGAGTCGATTTTTTTTATTTATTTAGGCTAACGTGGAAACTTTGTTTAATTGGAATGTAAAGCAGATATTTATTTTTCTGGCTGCTGAATACAAAACTTTAACCAATGAACATAATCAGGTTGTCTTATGGGATAAGATTATTCGGCGAGGAGAAGACTATAATATTAATTACAAGAGCATGAACGGAAAGTACCCATTCTGGGACGACGGCTTTGGGCTCCGAAATAATGATAATGTCACCTTGAAGTTCTATTGGAATATAATCCCTAATGCAGGTATTATGCCTCTTAGATCAAGCGGAAGTCAAATTGTATTCGGATTTCCTCCTACCTACTTTGACCGAAAACACTAAAGAGGAATCTTTTTGTAACGTTTCCACTTTGTTCATCGCAACCACTTTCATTGTCCACTTTCGAATATCTTTGAAATGTCTCAATTATTTGTTTTTTAACGTCTATCATTCTCATATCAACATTTGAAAGCTGACGTCATGGAGCAAACATATTTACCGAAATGATTAATCTTGCAATTAATGGCACTGTTTGGCGCCCCTTCTGACTCACGGATAATCGGAAAGCGCCCTAGTGCGTCCAACGATTTTAGCACTGAGTTCTTATTAGTGTCGGCGAATAAACAATCGGACAATGGGCCTGGTTATGCGAGACTGGAGCGGTGGTGGTACAACGTGTGTGTTCCCATTTACCTCATTCAATTCGCCATAAGTGAAAATCCGAATAAACGGCATTATTCTTGCAAATCCACGAAGCGTACTTGCGGTGAGTCAGGCATTAGCTAGCACAACAGGAAGACGGCGCCAATACCAACTTAACGTTTTCACACTAGAGCGGGACCGCACACCTTGACCCACCGGTCAGGTTATAACTTGTTTTTGAAGCTAACCCATACTTTGAGGCCTCATGTTCGGTGAAATGTTATGCTCGGTCAGAAAAACCACTAGATTCTAAAGTCGTTTTGAGTCCACTAGTAAACCTAGGCCTTTTGTGATGTTTTTCCCCCCAATCACAGTCAAACATAAGCGGTAGCAGGCAGGCTATGGAGGAAGTCCTTTTTTCTATGTTAAAGGATTTTTAGTGGTCCCATGACTCAAAATTCACTTAAATTGAGAGCATCCTCAATGAAACGTTTGTAGACAGCCATGAAAGCGATCACAAAGGCTTCCAAATGGAATATTGGCTTTTGCCCAAGTTGCATGCGGTGTTCGTGCGTAGCTGCCAGATTCGCTAGCTCCAACTTCAGACTGCCATCGCAGGACGCCAGCAGGTTATCAACTAGACCCTATAAGTAAGAAAATACTACGAACACTTTGACGTCGCCGCCCAAGGACACACCTTTCCGCTCGAGATCGCATTCTAGATTCGGGCAATTTTACTCGAACTGATTAAACATAACCTAAATGTGAAACGAGGTTAATCAGTGCATTTTTGTGGTGAATTTAGGCGTGCTCTTTAAGCTAGAGATCAATATTCATGACAAAAATCCGAGAGTTCTACAACCAAATGGTTGCCCGCCTAGTTGCTCCATCATTTAGCCATCACTTGTCTGTGAGACAATGTTAAGCGGTGATTGCCTTTTTTGGGAGAAGCTGTTAGTATAAGCGAGAAAAAATCCTTGGTTAGGGACAGAACGTATTTTTTAGACTTCAAGGCATGTCTGTCGGGATCGCCATCTTAAAATACTGTCACATTAGAAGGATTAGCAAACTAACCTTAAATATGACATCAGGTGGAATGCAATGAGCAAGTAACTCGTAGAGCTTGCCACGAACTTCCATTATTCTAGATTTGAAGATGAACGGAGGTTAAATGAGTTATTTTTCCAAAAAGAAACTATTATCTTGTAGAAATGGAAATGAGTCATTCACCAGAATAAACACAATAAAGAATGGATTACATCATGGTTGAAACAGGGTAGTACGGATGCATCCCCTGATACCAAATATTTAAACCAATGAAAACGTTGATATGACAGAAAACCTCACGTGAAAAAGTACCGTTAAGGAAAGGTAGCAGAAAATTACCTTCGAGGACTTTGTTCTCCAAGAATACTAGCAGCTGTATCAGCTATGAAATTTTGCCAATCAGGAAGTGGGACATTCTGTTCAGGAGTATAGGGATAATGTTGGGCTCGAGCTACTTCCGCCAGTAGAAGACTGCGGCGTAAGTTTCGGTCAGAAGCTGTTGCAATGCGCTCGGCTAGCTCTGTGGGTAATTTCAAGCCCTCACGCTTCGCGACATTACAAAGTATGGCCACGATTTCATCAACAGTTGGCGAAGCCACACGAACAGGAAGACACCGAGAGCGAGCAGCTGGGATTACCTGCATAGAATAAGTGATTAGGTAGAAAGAATATAGCTTTAAGTGAACAAAGCCTTGGAGAAAAATAGAGCAGAGAAATACCTTTGAAAGAGACTCAGCGCAAAGTATGAGCCTGCATGTTTCCATATACTTTTCCATGGTTCTACGAAGTGAATGTTGAGCATCCTTGGTGAGCCGGTCCACTTCGTGGATTACGACAACCTTGAATTCACGCTGAGACGAACTTTCTAATTGTGCGGTGGATGCCATATTTTTTATTAACTCCTGGACAACAAGCCTATCATAAATGCCGACATCGCTAAAAGGGCACGAAACAAACGTTAAAAAAAGTGAAACCCATTGGCACGATCAGAGGATGCATATATAAACCAGTGAAATAAAAATGAAAAGGCACACAGCATTAACGTCTACTTACCTCGGGTTAACTTCTAAATGATAATTACTAGATACGGTGGAAATATCTACTTTCTTCTTTGATGGAGCTACGAAAGTGTGATGTTCGATACGCAACTTATCAACACCAGGGCCATAAAGCTCGCGAAGCAAACAGCAAATCCTTGTTTTTTTCCCTGCACCAGGGGGACCATAAAAGAGCAGGTGTGGGAAATCCCCACTGGCGATCTGCAAATAACGTACATGACAGTTAAAGTTCTTACAAGTTTTTTAAGGATTTCAGCCTTATGAATATGATAATCCAGTTTGTCCAGGGTATTGGGACGATGTTTGTCTACCCAGAGACTCATTCTCTCAACAGAGGTCAGGAATGCGTATTGTGGTGTGGTGTGGTGTGGCGTCGGATTAGGGCGCAGACATGTTGGACCACCTGGCCTCAT